AAATTTTGTTTTACCTCAAAAAACCACAACAGTCTGTTTCATCCGTATAGGAATCATCAGGAATCATGATTCCTATACGGATGAAACAGACTGTTGTGGTTTTTTGAGGTAAAACGAAAATATATATATATATATATATATATATATATATATATATATATATATATATATATATATATATATATATATATATATATGGTATATTAATAATGAATATCTTTGTAAGCTAGAAAATATATTAAGTGCAAATAAATTGATTCTTAAGAGTTTTTTTTTACGTAATTAACGTTCTTCCAAATCAAGCAAGCGGTTATTGCCATTTCCTTATAGATTAAGTGAGGACTATATTAATATAAAAGAATGAATTACATGCCGCGACTAGTTGACCAGTTGTGATTTGAGTCTTTGGTAATTTGGATCTTTGGTATTCTCTGCATGTATATATTGTTGACGAAACCATTTACACTTAAAACAACATTTAGCACAATTTAATTCGTTTTAGTCACTTTATATTAGCTAAGCTTTGTTTCTTTTCCATTTGGCTACATTACTTGTGTTCGGCTCATACATTACGTTATCTAAATTTTATTTTTATTAAAAATTTTTTAAATATTTTTCCTTTTGTGTACGACCCCATTCTCATTAATGCAATATCTGTGACAAAGGAGTCTCAGAAGATACGTATTAAATACCCACATATAAACAAAGTCTTAGCTAATGGAGTATATTCCTTAACTGTTCACTGTTGCATGCATGCATGCATGCGATTTAATATCACATTTCTTACTTGGCGAATTTAGAGAATAGAAACTATTGCAAAGACGGGGGTAAGTATGTGATTGCGAATTTACCAACAAACAAGTTCAAAGTCAGAGGAATCATGTAATGTTTATTCATAAATTAATTTTTCAATGCATTTTAGATGGACTTACAATATCGTATAAGTGGGGCTAGTATATATAAGCGGTTATGATTACTTTTGGTCTTGTTTAATTCAGTTTCAAACAAGGAGCTGAGCGGGAATCGAGGGGGGAATAATGTTAAATGTTGTAGTGTTGCTAAATTGATAAGGATGATAATATTGATATAAAAGTATATATAATTCGGAAACAACTGTCGCTATGTTTAAAATATTTGCCTGATTATATCACTTAGCTTAGACTTGTCATGATATCGATTCTATGGGGTATAGACTGAATGATTTACATGATATACACAGTATACAAAAGATGCGAAAAATATCACAACATCGAATATGATTGGTCACAACCATTCAGCGACCAAATCAAAACCAGACCGTAAATATAAATATTGCATTCACTATTTACATTGATGTGTTTTTAACATTATCTTATTATATCTTCGATATATCGTGTGGTGTTGATACTTCGGTGTGGGAATTTTTTAATCTAAATTCAGTTGACAAGCATATATACTCATATAGATCAGGTCTACATGATATCGAGCAAATTGTCCTTCGTGACGAGAATTGTACTAAATATGCGGTCAATATATTTCTGAAAACTCTAACCTTGCCCTCGTATGTTTACGTCGGCCGAATTCTAAATGCTCTATAAAACCACATACAAAACATTCCTCACCGATATGAAAACTGCAGACTATAGGTGCATGGTCTCAAACTTGCGCGCCCCACCACTGCCACTGGTACTGCAACATGCACTCACCAAATACATCTAAACTTCACGAGTTTTATTAAAGAGGGCCGGCCGGGACAATTGGCATGCAACTGTTTCATATAGTAACTAGTATAATTGACAGTGGAAATACGGAACTTATGATAAGATATTACATATATTATATATAGATTACAGGTATAATATGTTAACAAAATTTAAATAGAAAGGAATTTTTTGAGCATATAGGAAGCATAGGCGTATACTGCAGTGGCGCCGTGGCCAGGGGGGGGGGGGGGGGGGGGGGCATGGGCCCCCTATGTTGAGAACCGTCGGAAAATTAGAAATTTGTTATGTTATCGGAATCTTCGTGGTCAAGCATGCCTACATATATGAGCGGGAATTTTACTTCTCTTCGTTGTTTGACAATGCCAAACATGTTTGAATAAAAAATATATGTATGAAATATCGGAAATTGGACTCAGTTTACGTTTTCCCAATATACGTCTATAGAATAGTCAATATTTAATTCAATATAACTTCATATATTATTTATGTATGAAAAAATCGTGTTTGTCGGAAAAATGCTGTCGTTGGCCCCCGTAAAACATGGGACCCGGGACGCTCCTGCGTACGGGAAGAAAAAAATAGGTATATAAAATATATTAAATATTAACAGCATATAAATGATATATTATAAAGGTTAGTTTTTTTAACCTGATAGGAAGTAGAAATAGAACCAATTCAAGGACGAGCAAAAGCACCCTCTTTCAACTTTGCAAAAGTAGGGAAATTAATGGGGCTCAAATGACCAAATCAAAAGTTGTTCCATATATACCGCGTATGGATGATCAATATCTACAAACTAGTCCTCCGCTGCCTCGTTTAATTGGCCAGCAACGATGGAATGTATACAAATTAATAACGGCAACTAAACTACAAATAAAAAGTTGCCGCACAATCAAGAAAAAAGGCTCTTACAACGATGGATTTAATCAAAATTTAATACTTAACCTGCACTGTGCTAATCAGTAAACCAAACTAATTTGGCGACATAAAGACGTGACTGCGTGTAGCGCAGGCCGTTGTCAGTATAATGCAGCGACTGATGCATGCTTGACTCTATTGTGACTTGGCCATAAATTAATAGCATGTATTATTCCAATTGACGTCACAACTCACAAGTGTAGTTTGTCCGAATATTCCCACACTTCTTGCAGGCTCAACAATACAGGGTGTTCTTTGTAGGTTTGCATGGCGATAAATTTGATGGCTTGCACCGATATTTGTGGTGTTTCCACAAACGATAGTATTATAATACAGGGTGTGTCAAAAAGGAGACTTTAGAAATTAATCTATTGTTGTTAATTAAGCACAAACAAATTTTGCTCCTGGTAATTAAAAATTCAATTCAATTGTGTTTTCGCACCTTGTGTTCAGCGTACATGCAGTAGTGCTTATAGCATTCAAATTATAACAATAAGGTTAATTTCTCTTTAGAAATCTCCTTTTTTATACACCCTGCAGAATATACAGGGTGTATAAAAAAACGCAACCTCGGAATTTCCCAAGAAATCGACATTGTCTGAAATCGACTGGGAATTTAAAATAGCACAACGCGAGTGCGTTTAGCAGTACAACAACAGTAATATGATCTATTAGCAATTTGATTTCAATTCGCAGTAGCCTACCGAGGTTGCGTTTTTTTATACACCCTTGCATTCATTTGATATACGTATACTTGGAAATTTGCCCCCCTCATCGGATATTTCCCCCCCCCCCTTTATTAGGACTGAACAAACATAAGCATTTGTAATCATGCAAACGTTAGTGTTGAAAGACTGAGATAAACATTTTTAAACATTTTCTTGGAGACGTGTATCCAACCACGTCCAACAGAGTATTTTGAAAATATATATTTTTAGTACCAGTAGTTTCCCACCTATACTGATCTAATTTCTTAATGAATAACTACATTAGGATCAAGACGAAGTTGACTTTTATTTTTTATCCAGGAGGCAAGGATGGAAAGCAACGAAAACAGAAATGAGAGCGAGAAAGACGACGAGGCTATTGAATTGAATTACAGAATTGATGATAATCCACCCTGGTATCTCTCTTTGTTGTTAGGATTTCAGGTAAAGATATTTAGATATTCAGAGCTTCCTTCTTATAGTACTGAATGTTAAAGGTAGGGTAAACAAAGCCTTTGTTTACATTTCGGCATTCAAAATATTGAACTTTATTCGACAACTATTTATATTTTCATGCTTAATTCTACAGTATAATAAATTATCAAGATACAACAATCAGGCTTTGCAAGAACATAAAAGAAAATAAAAACCTAATTAAAGTGTTTATTGGATATGCACTGAGGGGTGGTAGTAATAAAAATATATTATCAGATAAATGGGAGAGATCACGTTCACATTCGGATCTCATGATCTCTTGTAACACATCTGAAGTTATACTGATTATAGTTACCTGTTCTGTTACACATACAGAGTATACGTATACATGCATGCATATACAATAGAGAGGTTCAGATTTGACTTCCACTACCATTACCTTTCACTGGCTTAGTACGCATCTGATTGGTTAACTGGAGTGTTCAAATGCATCTGATTGCTTAATATACAAGAGTTGCCAAGGTTTATCTTATACACTCATATAATGCAAAGTACAAAAAGATAAAAATGATAAACGTCACCCTTGGTAGAGTTGGCGTAGTGGGTGCACTTTTCAGGGCCTCTTTTAAGGATGTGTAACTGAGGGGACATATTTCGCGGGGGACTTGGAGAAACCAGCATAAATATCATGTATGCATGTTTTAACTTTTGGATTTCTTGAAGCTCAGACAGGCTATTTCCAGCATTTTAAGGAGTGTTCCAACAAGAAATTAACTTTATAAACAGTGACACAATTGCTGCAATTTTACAGTCTCCCAAATGTAATCCAGTCCCAATAAGGCAACACGATGTGATGATTGCGGTAATGAAAATGTGCGTGGTATAGTATTATCATTCACCACACTTAAAATTCTACAGTACTGTATTACTTGTATTGGGGTACTTGATATTGACGCATTCGCTTCTCAGGCTCACTGAAGAGCAAGATAGGATGATCTCGGTGGTATCTTTGCTTGGAAAAACTAAACTAGAATTTCGTCCTAAAATGCCATTTCATGCCTTTTTCCACGAGCAAATTATTTCAGCCATGGTTTAGGTTTCTGGCGATGTTTAAATTTCAGTCCCCGAATTCATACCGAGTCTCGGTTGACTCATAGCTAGTTACGGGCCTGCAGATGATGGTCAAATTCAGAAATGTTAACAGCTTATAACATCATTTTCTTACTTTGATATACAATTGCTGGTTGACCACCTACTGCAGATAGTTCTTAGGGACCTTGCACTGGGGGGGGGGGGGGAAATTGCTGACTGGAGGGGCCGCTAAGAGGGCTGGGGGGGACATGACCCCACAGTCTATATGTTAAAAGAGGCCCTGGCACTTTTTGAAAAGAAATGAAGTCAGCGTCCAGCGTCGAACGAAGATGAGAGTGCCAAGTTACGAATTGTTACAGGGGATATTTCAGGCTCTATTAGCCATTATTCCGAAGTTGATGAGAGGACTGTTGAAGACGTTTACATGAATACCCTTCGAATAATAAGCTTTCGAAAATCGTGAAATTACTGATTAAAAGATTGTTTTTGGGACGCGCGTCCCCAAAAACAAAAATTACAATACATTTCATAGTAAATACCACGATTTTCGAATGCTTATTATTCGATGGATATTCATGTAAACGTCTTCAAACTTTGTATACAATGTTGAGGTGGTCTTCGTAGTGATTTCGTTCATTTCTTAATTTGGGCACTTTTTAACACTCGTTCCCAGTCCACTCATCAACTTCGGAATGGCTAATAGATGAACGAAACAGAGTGCAATGGAACGTAATCCATTCATTACAACCCGCACGATGTGTGAAGAAATTAAATCTCGAGGTGTTTGTATACTGCTCAATGTGCCCGATTGATGACAGTGAATTGATTTGCTTGCGACGAAATTAGGCAAGCTGGTGTGATATTTTATCTCCGTAGGAAGAGATTTTGTAATATATAACTATGTAAATAGTTAAAATGTTGCTTTTATATTAGTGTTCTGTTACACTACGTAACTAGAGCTAAGTAAACAGCGTTAGCGCGCCAAATTCAATAACACAGCGAAACTTGTCTGCCAAGACTGCCATGGCGTAGCTTATATATAAGAAGATCACAAACTTTAAGAATGCGGCGATACCACTAGCACCGCGTATTTTCAACCTCTCTCGATGGAGGTAGAAATTGTCATTATGCGTACAATGATAAAACAGACGGTTATTTCAAGTCAAACGGAAGGCACGAAGGTGTAGGGATATTAATATAAGAGTTTGTCTGACGAAATTGATTTAATTCATAAGTCAGACATGACGACGTTCGTGGCAGCACAGTACAGTAGGAGGGACCAAGGCGAAGCAGTGATATAATGGAGATTACATCGTTTGGTATTTTGATCATTCAGGCAGGCTGCCTGAGGATTTCAACAGCAAGCCATGTTACGCGTCAAGGTCATGTTACGCGTTATGAATGCGATTCCTCTGGAGCAATTTGGCGCCAATTTTACCAAAGACATTTCGTGTGAGAACGGAGAAGATACCAAACGACGATTTATGTAGACTACATTGTGCCAGCACAGGAATCCTAATCAATCAAATTAAACATAGCCTGCTTGCAGCCTGAAATTAATGCACCAAGACGCAGAAATTACATCATTACGAAGCGCGCGGCTTGCTTGAAGCAATTAGTAAAGCCAAGATTTCCGCGGAAATATCAAACCCCTGATTCTGATGCTCTGATATCGACCAGCAAAATAATCAGCCCGTGCGAAAGATGCCTGATTCTATTCAAGGAGGACAAGTGAGCTTGACATCTGTGTCAGCCTGGTGCGTTCGAGAGTCTAGAGGATAAGGCCATATAAAAAAAATAGCTGGTTAGCGTCCTTAGCTTTTGCCAAAAAGTGGGCGGGCGGGCGCTTTTTTTTTTAATTTTTACTAACTTTTAACGCCTTGGTTTTACTCACTGTTAGGTCCGAAACTGGATTTTCTTGCGCAGTACAGATATTTTTTTTATATATTTCAAAATATAATTCATACCGTCATTTTCGCACGCAATTTCGCAAATTATTAACACAATTGACTACAGTCAACAGAAATACTACATATATTAGAGCCTGTTGATCAATAAAAGTCGGGTTTTTTTAAAATAAAAAATAAAAAAAAATCCTGAGCGGGGCCTTTTTTGTGGGCGGGCGGGGACGCTAACCAACTATTTTTTTTTATGTGGCCTAATGGTGGAGAATTGAATTTTAACTTGAACTTGGACACCTTTGGACGGACGGCCGTTTTGGGGTAAAAACTTTGTCTATTAATCTATTAAACAGACTACAGTATTGCACGAAGTCTTGAAGTTTTTCACGACACTAATACCACCAAACTCCAGGTAGATATTTCTTATAATTTAGTATTTAGTATTGACATTGACCACCCACGCGCCTCTGGCCCACCCCAGCACGCCCTCTCACGCCTGGGGGGTGGGGGGATGGCAATGTAGCAAAAACCTCTAACGTCTCAAATTATCAATGACTTTCATAGTGACAGATCATTGTGAAGATTTAATGACTTTAGATAGCTGGTATAAATTAAGAAGTATTAGCCTACTGGGTAATATGAAATCATAAAGATAACTAATATTTACTGTAAATAATAATTTTGCAATAAATATTTCACTTGTAGCAGAAGCCTCCAAGTTGTCAAGATTTTCAATGTCTTTGGGCAACAGGTTGTCAAGACTTCAATGTCTTTAGGCAGCTGGTTTGAACTATGGTGCTTTATATATACTAAAAATAAAAACCTATTAATTAATCATGTTATAATAAATTATGCACTTGTAGAAAGAGCCTCCAAGTTGTCAAGATTTTCAATGTCTTTGGGCAACAGGTTGTCAAGACTTCGATGTCTTTAGGCAGCTGGTTTGAACTATGGTGCATTACATATACTAAAAATAAAAACCTATTAATTAACCATGTTATAATAAATTATGAACTTGTAGAAAGAGCCTCCAAGTTGTCAAGACTTTCAATGTCTTTGGGCAACAGGTTGTCAAGACTTCAATGTCTTTAGGCAGCTGGTTTGAACTATGGTGCGTTATATATACTAAAAATAAAAACCTATTAATTAATCATGTTATAATAAATTATGCACTTGTAGAAAGAGCCTCCAAGTTATCAAGATTTTCAATGTCTTTGGGCAACAGGTTGTCAAGACTTCATGCAATGTCTTTAGACAGCTGGTTTGAACTATGGTGCGTTATATACAGGGTGTATCAAAATAAACGCAATTCATCTTTTGTGCTTAATAACTTTCGAAATACTATTTCTAGTTAAACGCTTTTAGGCTTACTTCAAAGCCTGTTCTTTTCTCTTTCAAAAAAACTATTATCCTTGTCTCCAATGCTAGTAATAATTGCACAGGAAAAGATTTAGTAAAACCTATCATTTTTAGTTGCTGTTTAATTATGCAAGTTTACTATGTTATTGTTTAGTCGGTTTAAATGATAGAATTTTCTTCTTTAAACTTTAATGTTGTCGTCACTACATCTGAAAACCACGTAAGAACAAATTAAAAGTATTTTAAAAGAGACCAGGTTGTTTGAAAATCCTAAACGAATGCTAAAATCGTCAAAACATTCTGGTGTCTGAGCCAGAGTGTCATCGAATTACGATGTAATGTAAACAGAAATTATAGCAAGTTGATGTCAGTCAGCTTAGATGGTCCAAGCCAAAATTATATCGCATTTGAAGTTTAAAACTGAGTTAAAAATAGTGGAAGAAAAGCCGTAATTATACTTATTGTTACAATCCATTTAATAAAATGCAACATTTTTTTATTTTAATGAAAAAATCAGTTATTTTCATGAGAACGATTTGTTATTCCATCTCAATTTTTTTAATCTCCAATCGCAAAAACGTAAAGTATTATTAGCCGCGAACCAATGAGTCAAATTTAAGAAACAACCCACTGTTAGAAAGCTGAATGGCTACGCTT